GTGGATAAATCCATTAATGCTCTGGACCCAGGATTCCCCATGTTCCAGAACTTTCCTTTCCATACTAACCAGTGCAGGTTTCTGTCCCTGACTGTGAACCTGCCAAGTCCCAACCAGACATATTTTTTTTCTTTTTTTTTGCTACTGAGAAAAAAAGCAGAACTTGAGAGGTGGCACTTTCTTGCTAACAAGGAACGAGGTCTGGGGACCCCAGAAAGTGCCACCTCTTTGTAGCAGGAGCTGCAGAAATGTGAGCTCACAGGATTCATAGCCAGTCAGGAGGAAAGAAGAGTTAATAACCCATTGCACACACACACACCCGATTTTTCTATTTCCTATTCCATTTATTTACAATCTGATCTTTATTATTTCCTTCCTTCAGCGTTGGCTGGATTGAATTTGCCTTTTTATTTTTATTTATTTATTTWTTTTTAGTTCCTTCAAACCAAAACTTTGCACGTTGGACGGAGGCCTTCTTCCTCGTCCAATATAAGCATTTAGGGCTATCAACATCCTCTAGTATTGCTTTCCTAATCTCCCACGATTTTTTAGTATGTTATGTTTTTTCATTTTATTCTGTTTTCAAAGACTTTAGGATTTCCTTTTTCATTTCTCCCTTGGCCCCCCAAGGGGTAAATTTAAAGTAGGCTCGTTACTTCTCAGAAACTTGGGGGCTTTCCAGGTGGCTCTCTAAATTATGAATGTCTAATTTAGTTGGATTACGGCCAGAGATTATTCTTGGTGTGACTTAAATCAGTTAAATTTTTTTTTTCGTGGTCCCAGATTCTGGTGGTGCAAAACAGGAGAGTGAGGGTCTGCTGTGTCTGGATGGAGTGTCCTGGGAGTGTCGGGGAGGTCAAGTTCACAGACAGTGTGATTTATTTATTTAYTAGTTTGTTTTTGTGCTGGGGACTGAACCCAAGGGTGCTTAACACCTGAGCCACATCCCCAGGGTCTCACAACCGTGCCTCTGATCTTTTTTTTTTTTTCTTGTCGTATTGCTTTGGCAAGATGCTATGGTTTAGAGGGGGTTTGAGTGTGTCCTCCATGTGTTGAGATTCAACCCCAGTTTTAAGACCTAACCTGGGGGCTGGGATTGTGACTCCATGGTAGAGCACTTGCCCAGCATGTGTGAGGCATTGGGTTCAATTCTCAGCACCATATATAAATAAATAAAATTCTATCAATAACTAAAAAAAAAAAAAAAAAAGAAGAACTTAATCTGGCCGGTTGTGGTGACRCACACCTGAAATCCCAGCAGCTCAGGAGGCTGAGGCAGGAGGATCACAAGTTCAAAGCCAGCCTCAGCCACAGTGAGGCCCTAAGCAACTCAGTGAGACCCTGTCTCTAATAAAATACAAAATAGGGCTGGGGAGGTGGCTCAATGGTCGAGGGCCCCTGAGTTCAATCCCTGGTACCAAAAAAAATAAAATAGCACAACAGGGCTGGGGATTCAGCTCTTGCCTAGCATGTGTTGGGTCCTGGGTTCTGTCCCCAGCACTTTAAAAACAATTTGAACTATTGAACCACAAATAACAACAGCCTTTGCTATTTTTCCAGATGCTATTCTAGGTGCATTTCATAATTTCCACTCATTTTGTCTGCACTGTGACCCTAAGAGGAAGGAACTATAATCATCATCCCTTTTAGGGAGTTGCCCTGTGTTCTGTGGATTTAAAGAGGCAGGGAATTTGAGGTTTTAAGAGGAAGACAGAGGAGCCTGAGGCAGGAGAGACAGACGCAAAAAGCAAATCCTTCAGGGCACCGTGGTGGAAGCCTGTCTTCCCAGCCTTCAGGAGGCTGAGGCAGGAGGATCAAAAGTTGGAGGCCAGCCTCAGCCACTTAGGGAGGCCCTAAGCAACTCAGTGAGACCCTTTCTTTAAATAAGAGGAAGAGTGTGGGGAGGGAGCAGCTCCCATGGGGATCAGGGAGCAGYGACTCCACTCTCTAGGGACAAATAGAGACCCCAAGCCAAGTCCCCAGGGCCACCTCCTCCATCACACCCCACCTGCCTCCAGGGGCCACCAGGGGACCCCAGGGACAAACCCAGTGATTGGGTCAAGGCTGTAACCCAATCCTTTCTCCTCCAACTCCTCCTGCATTGTCTCCCACGTGAGCTTTTGGGGGACACCTCACAGCCAGACCATAACAGACAGGGTCTCATTGAGTCATTTAGGGCCAAGTAGCTGAGGCTGTGGCCTCCAACTTGGAATCCTCCTGCCTCAGCCTCCAGAGCCACTGGGATCACAGGTGTGAGTCCCACTCATCACAATCTCCCATTTCCCTTCCACCCCGTTTTACTCTCAGCTCATACTCTGATATTTCAGCCTGGGTCTCCTCGTGACCTGCTAGGAGCCAGGAAATGCAGGGGACCGTCCAGGTGGACACTGTTTTTCTGAGTCCCCGTGGATGCTTCTCTCTGCCTGACTCTGAAGCTTTAAATAGGCCCCAGAGCGACTGTGTCCATCCTCAAGTAAAGCAGGGCCTGTTGGGACCTGGTCTTTGTCACATRCTAGATCCGTCTGGTCCCTATTCGCTGTCCCCTTGGGTAGGTTCCAATTCCTGTCCGGGCAGGTGCATGTGCCCACTTCCAGAGGCCTCCTCGGCCCGTGCYTTGCACACTCCGCACCAATGCAGCTAAGAGAAGCTACCATTTCCCCTGCAAGCCCCTTGGACAGACAGACTCTGCCCCCAGTTCAGGAGCAGACCACGGTGACCTGGTGAAGGTTTGGTTTGTCCACAGGGAGTTGGGATTCTGTCATGTGCACTCTGAACTTCTGCATGGGGACCTCCTGGCTCCTCGTGGGTTTTCCTTCGTGACACTCCCCTGTCCCTGCAAACCCTCCTGGGGTGCCCTTCGGCCAAGGTGGAGAAGGGAGGCCAGGAGGATGAGCCCACGGGTGCCCCTTGGYGCCCGTGCTGTGCAGCCTCCTGGGAGGCCAGAGCACGCTGGGCTGGCGGCACAAACTGCTGGCTGCCCCCGATTTGTAYTGTCCCCTTTTTCTCTTGCAAGAGAGCTTACATACCCCAGCTAGGCAAGAGCCTCCCAGCGAAAGACTACATTTCCCAGCTTCCCTTGCAGTGCATGAGGTCATGTGACTCTATGATGGCCAATGGGCGACGAGTAGACCAGATTATGCAAATCTCGCCTGTCAGGCAGGGCGGGGCCACCGGCCTTCACCTGCTGGTCCAAGTCCTCTTGAATGGACACCCCAGGGCGCAGAGGAGGAGCATCAGAAGAGAAGAAGCCTGTGTGTATCAGGCTAGAGTCACCATATTAACCCTTCCAGCTTATTCAGACTGTTTTAATAGAGGAAAATAAACTTACATCTTTTTTTTTTTTTTGGTGCCAGGGATTGCACCCAGGGGCGTTCACCCACAGCCTCTGAATCGGCTGGTGCCACCGCACCAGGCTACACTTCCACCTGAATTCAGAGATTTCTTTGCTGACCCATATGTTGCCTGGTATAGTGATCAAGAAAGGGTGCTTCCTCCTGGGTGCTTGGGAGGCCAAGGCAGGAGGATCGCAAGTTGGAGGCCAGCCTCAGCAGCTTAGTGAGGCCCTAAGCATCTCAGCCAGACCCTGTCTCTAAATAAAATACAAAAAAAAGGGGGGGGGCTGGGGACGGGGCTCAGTGGTTAAGCAGTCCTGGGTTCAATCCTTGGCACTTAAAAATAAAAAAAAAAAAAATTAATTAATTAATTAAAGAGAGACATCAGGGCCCTGCTCACTATGCACAACTGAGCACCAGCCCAACCCTCCTCACCGAGGTTCACCGCAGGGCAGAGGCACCCGACCTGTGACAATGCACACTTCAGGTGAGAAACCTGGGGTCCCCAATGGGAGGGGACAATTTAGATCACCTGGTCAGCCTGGCCTCGGCTGGACAGGTCAGCTGGAGGAGTTGAAGGATGGGACCCAGCCCCTGGGGTGAGGGAGCCTGGCCACACGACTTTCTCCAAGCCTCAGGGTCCTGACCAAATGACCATCCTCCGAGTCCTTCACGCCCTTCCCGGGTCCCCCTTATCTGCGGTTGCAATTGATCGTTTATGGATGAAAGATTATGTTAGCGCTGGAAATCGATCCTGCGCTTCTCCAGGGCATGTTTGCCTCCCCCCAGGGTATATCTGGCCAGGGGCAAAGGGCAAAGGTCACAAGGCCCAGTTCTGTCCCCAGGACAGGACCATCAGGAGGAGATAGCCGTCCTCCAATCAGCAGAGTTGGGTGCTGGGCACAGGCAAAAAGTCAATGTCAGCGCAACAGCCATCGGTTCCTAAGCCACCAGGGATGGAAGCCAGGGGTGCTTAACCTGTCCCCAGCCCTTTTTATATTCTATTTTGAGACAGGGTCTCGCTGAGTTGCTGAGGGCCTCGCTAAGTTGCTGAGGCTGGCCTCCRATTTGTGATCCTCCTGCCTCAGCCTCCCCAGTCACTAGGATGACAGGAGTGCACCAGTATGCCTAGTGCCACGGGCTCTTTTAAAGAGCAGAGTGCACAGGAAAGTCTTCTAGGAGACTGACATCTCCTGCTTCCTGTGGGTGAACCAAGGGAGGCCTCTCACCACAGGTCTCACACTAGCCCAGAGGCTGAGGCAGGCCAGGGGATGTGGCTGGGGATGTGGCTCAATGGTGGAGCACTTGCATGAGGCCCCGGGTCGATCGGCAGCACTGAAACAAACAAGCCAACCCACCAACCAACCAAAAAAACAACCCACGGCTCAGCCACATTTCTAGGGATCTGCCCTCAGTACCAACCAAATATACAGAAGGTGCACAATAAGTGCTTGAATCACTCAATAGTGGTAGGAAGAGCTTCATGTGGGTCTCAAAGGCTTTCCACAGGTGATTTGGGAGGCTGAGGCAGGAGGATTGCAATTTGGAGGCCAGCCTCACCACAAGCRAGGTGCTAAGCAACTCAGGGAGACCCTGTCTCTAACAGCCCCGAATCTTCCCACCTCCCAGGAGCCACAGAAGACAGTACAAGTGCACCCCAAAGTGATCGAGTTCTTTTTTCTTTTTATTGGCAAAGTAAATATATATTTTTTTATGAAGCAACAAAGAAAATATACATAATTGTCACATATGTACACCAGCTTTGTAGATTTTTTTTTAATTTCAAATTTACACAAATGTCGATATGTTATTAAAAGATATTTTACGTCGATGTCCCTATGTACAGTTTATTTACATACATTCATAGGATGTGAAATAAACCTGTCAAAACAAGCTAGTTGGTTTGATATTAATTTCTAGAGAGGAATGCATTGCTAAATCCGGGCTGGGAAGTTCTATCTAGTTCTTGGACTCCTAGTGTGGCCTTTTTCCCCTGTCCTCCGGATGGTGGCCCTAGAGGCTGGTGTCTGGATTTGTCTGGCGATCAGGAGGAAAGGAGGGGGTCACACTGGGCCCAGAAGACCGTCTGTCTGTCTTGCACATTTAATTCCTAACACATGCACTCACTGCCAGCCCCACCCCACCCCCACCAAGAGGGGACACTTTTCACCTCTCTCCCACATGGAGGGCCCCAACTGGCCAGATCCTGCCTCTCCATGGCCCTGCGTACCCTCTGCCAATCGTGCTGAACAAGCAACTTGGGCAAAACTGCTCTGACACCACAGTGCAGCCCTGGACTTTTGGCCTACTTCCTTCTTCCCGGCATGACTCCCTCTGGGAACTGCACATTTCTTCCCCAGCTGTGGAGGCTTGGCTTTGGCCCAAGCGGGGAGCCCAGTGGGAGAAGGGCCAGGCACCCCCACCCCCCMAAAAACCCTGCTTCCAGCTGGTGGCTTGCTGCAGAGGCCGGGCCACCGTGGGAAGGCACAAAGGGATAAAGGCACTAAGGCCGGCGTCGTCGTCGTCGGGGCCCAGCGCTGGGGGCCCAGCCCCCAGGGACTCGGGTGGACAGAGTCTAAGTGCCCCCTGGGGGAAGGCAGCAGGTGGCGGGCTCAGGGTGATGCCCAGGRTGGCGCCTCCTAGCGCTGGGCTGGGACACCGTGGCGACCCTCAGCAGGAGGCCAATAAATTATTGCTTAAAAAAAAAAAAGGAAAAGGAAAAGACAAGGACCGGAGAGAACCGGGCCCCTGGGGACGGGCGCTCAGTTGGCGGCGCGCATGGCGCGGCTGCTCCGCGGGAAGCGGTGCACCTTGACGTGCTTGGAGAGGTGGTCACTCCGCGCGAACTTCTTCTCGCACACGGGGCACTGGTAAGGCTTCACGCCCGAGTGGGACCGCCTGTGTCGCGACAGCTCGTCGGAGCGTGAGAACCTGCGGGACACGGCAGCGCGGTCAGCCAGGAGCGCGCGGGGCGCTCCCCCGGGGGGCCRAGGGGACGCGTGGCACCTGCCTGGCTGCCTGGTTCTGGAGCCAGCAGCCTCCCCAGGACGAGRACAGGGTCAGCAAGGCTTTGCTGGTTCTTAAAAGAGCAAGTGACTCCTGCTAGGAGGCAGAGGCCGGTCCAGAACAGACCCTCCTGCGCCCCGGCCTCCTGCGCCCTGACCCTCCTGCGTCCCGACTTCCTGCGCCTGGAACCTCCTGTGCCTGGACACTCCTGCGCCCCAGATCCCCTGTGCCCCGGCCTTCTTACGCCCTGACCGTCCTGCGCCCCGATCCTCCTGCGCCCTGGCCTCCTGCGTCCTGACCCTTCTGTGCCTCCACCATCCTGCGCTCCAACCCTCCTGCGCCCCAGGCCCCCTGCGCCCCAGGTCTCCCCTGCCACAACATAAGAGTTCAGGTGGTTCCTCACTCTTGCCACCACTGCGCCCTGACCCTCCTGCATCCCAGGTCCCCTGCGCCCCGACCATCCTGTGCCCCGACCATAATGCGTCCCGACCTCCTGCGCGCAGACCCTCCTGTGCCCCAGGTCCTTTGTGCCCCCACCTCCTGCGCCCCGACCACCCTGYGCACCAGGCCCCCTGGGCCCCGACCGTCCTGTGCCCCTGCCTCCTGCGCCTGGACCCTCCTGTGCCCGGACCCTCCTGTGCCCCAGGTCCTCTGTGCCCCCACCCCCTGCGCCCCGACCGTCCTGTGCCCCAGGTCCCCTGCGCCTGGACCTTCCTGCGCCCTGGTCGTCCTGCGCCCCAGGGCCCCTGGGGCCCGTCTGTCATACGTCCCGACCTCCTGCGCCTGGACCCTCCTGGGCCCCAGGCCTCTGCAGCCTCTCCAAGATGGAAACACCTGCAAATCGCAAGAGCTGGGGCAGCAAGGTCCAGCCTCCTGCCTCAGGGCCTCCAGAGCAGCTGCTGACTACTCCCCACAGGAAGGGACCTCAGGCTAAGGCACACCCAGACAGCAGGGCAACCCCCTCCCAACGGCCTCCTTCAGGAAGGGGGCGTGTGCTCATGATTCCCTGGACCACAAGGTCACAGGGCCATTGGTGAGGGTCCAAGGAAGCCTGTCCAGAGGGGAAACGGAGATCCAGGGGAGGATACAGGGTCCCCAGGACTACAAAGGCGTCCCCAGMTCTTCCATCTTACTTCCAGTACAGACCCAAGAGGTGTCCTTGGGTTTGAGTCACCCACCTCCTGGACCATGCTGGCCTGTAAGTGGGGACCTCTGAGACCCCAAACAACAATGCACCCCTGCCAGGTGTTCTTAGGAGTTCAGGAGGGCCAGCACCGTGGCGCGCCCAGAGGTAATCCCAGGCTCGGGAGGCTGAGGCAGGAGGACCACAAGTTGGAGGCCAGCCTCAG